GCACTTGTCAAGTCAAAGATTCCCCTTATATTTAGAAAATAGTATTTAGCTAGGCCCAAAAAGTAGGATATTTAACATTTTAGAAACTGCCAAGCAATCACCAATATTGAACCATTTTCTCACCCAAGGTTTAAAAAAAAAATAGCCATTCCCCCACCCACCCAAAGGAAGTAATTACTTGTCTCAATCTTCCTAGTGGAGGGCGAGAACCCCACTGGATTCCCTGAACTTCAACGTGCAGACCGTTTTCACCCCCACTCTGTTGTACTTCTTCTTTAAGACACTATTCTAAAATCCCGGCTTTTACAAACACATTCCCTCTCACTCAGTACTGTCAACCACATAATGAAGTACGTGAGAGAGACATGGTCACTGTCCCATCGTCAGTGCCGTGTCACCCCTTTACAAAGAGAAAGCAGCAGAAGTGGAATATTTGTTCCCTATGTGCTACACATCCTGCTCATTTCATCCTCCTGGGGAAGATACACAGTCATCATTTCTTTCACCTATCAGGACTGGAACTTGTAGAGAAGAAAGATTTTTTCCTTCTACCCTTGTAAATGCTTGGCTGAGGCCCCTGTAACAAGAAACAGAGTAACAAAAGACAAGCACACAAATTTATTTAACCTAAATTTTACATGGCATAGAGCCTTCATAAGAAAAGACCCAAGAAACTGTTGGTTAAATCTGAGAGTTTTTACATTAAGTCTGACGAAAAGTGGAGAGTCATGTGGAAAATATAACAGGATGAAGGTAGGAAGTAAGTGTTGTCAACTGTGGGGAAATTTAGCAAAGCCTGTTCTTTAAGATTCATCTTCGGAGATGAGGATGCTCCTTTCCTCCAGGCAGAGGGAGAACACATCTCACATGAGGGCCTTGTGACCTGCTTAGGGGAGATGGGCAGGGGAAGATCAGAGTTATTCCCGCCATTTCTCAAGTTCCTTCAGCTTATGATACTCAGTGTTCCAAGGTGCCACATTCTGGGGTAGTGTATCCTGAACCCCAAGCTTCATGAGGTTAAGTAGCTAGCCTGATGTCACACCAAAAGTGGAGACACGGGGATTCGAACTGAGGCTTTACTACAGAATAGGTCGCTTTACTAAATGATGCTGCCTCTCACTGTGCTAGATGCTTCATCCTAGCATTATCCTATTTCACGGTCTCAGGAGCCTTGTGAGGAACTCACACTCATCTCCTTTCAGAGGTGAAAAAAACTGACTGAGATGACACAACTTGCTAATCAGTTCCCCAGCACCCCCCCCCCCCCCCCCCGGCTTCTTTTTTTATTAGTAACTGTATTGACAGGAAATGGGTACTTGAACTTCTGATGGTCTACTAAGGATAATATCTGCAAATGTAATTTGACCAGAATAGTGATAATGTGCTAGCAAAAGAGTCTCAAGAAAGTGATACGGCATAAATGGATAGGGTTAGATTTCCTTCTTAAAACATAACCTAATGTGAAACAGGTGGAGAAACAGGGCAGAAAATCCACATATTTTGAGGCACTTAAATCAGTACTGAATGTCTACTGCCTCTCAGCAAAGCCCACTCCCAGATCACCTCAAAGCAACCTCCTGTCACAACCAACAGCTCCCACATCCAGTGAAATCAGGACTGGCACAAGAAGTTTTCCAATTGTCTCAACCTCTAGAATAGAGGTTTTGTGTTGTTAATGAGGCTATTCAGGGGTTCCATTCTCAACAATGCTTAAGAATTCAGGCAGATACTTGAGGCTGGTTTTGCGGGTCTGACCAAAGCATGCCCTAAAACTGCTTGGCAATCAACCTTGAACTTTTTTCAAATGATCAGTAAACAGTTATTGATAATGCAGACTCTAAAAGAGATCACAGACAGCATCACCAACATGCTAAAGAAATAGTATCAACATGATACACCTGACCCCCAAAATTGTCAAAATTACAAGGCACATATGCCTAAGTACAGCCTTTCCCTCTCAGTTTCATGCCTTAAAAAATTATTAGCTAACCACAATTTAAAAAAGCTTTTTATAAAATTATTAACCAGCTACAGGAACCAAAAATTACTTGGAAATATTCACTTTAATTTAGAACAATAGTTAAGTGAGGCTCACCCTTAGAATCATTAAAACCAACAATCCAGTTGGCACAAACTGTTAAGAACACTAGATGTGCCTGCTTGACTAAAATGTAACAGTAAAGCCATGGCAAAAGCAAAATCTTTTCTTCAAATCTAACACTAATCTTAAGAAGGATTTCACAGCAGTTAGTCTCTTGAGAAAATATATAATTAAGTAGTTTTTTAGCATATTTAATTAGACCCCAAACTCTTCCCTGTCCCCTTCTCTCCCCAATTATGTACTATTTGCCCAGGAGACCTAAGCAACTCAGTTAATTATGTAAATAAGGCAAGAGTTATTCCCAAGAAAAGCATTGTGAATATTTGTAGGAGGGAAAAAAACTGTACATATTTTAGAGGCTTTAACAAACCTTTGTGGAAAAAAAAAATAGGAGTATCAAAATACGTAGCAAACCCTTATACTTGAGGCAAAAAGCATGGCGTTCCAATGATAAGACAGTGAATCATTAAAACAAGACACTCATTTCATTTCTTAAATATGAGCCGAATAAAAATAAAATAATTTTAAGTTACAACAGTAACAAAAATTTAGTGCTGAATGTCAGATGATTTATGGGAAGAATCAATCTGGAAATTATTAGAGTCGACTCTCACAGAAAAGGCTTTATTATCAAGGGGTTGACATGATCTTAACTCTAGAGGCAGCCATGGTGCTGTTATAACTACTACAATCCCATTATTATGCAATCACAAAATGCTAATTTGATCATTTTGAGGTGTTATTTGAATAGTCATTTTAATTTCTAGGTTACAAAAAGGCTTGACTCAAGTATAATTCTCTATTAATCATTAAGATGTCATTGTATATCATATTGATGCATTTCACAAAGATAAAGAAAGACTAATTTAATATGTACAGTACAATATCCTTCAAATATTAGCCATTTTCATTACATATCTGCCAAATGCATCAATATTAATAGATGAGAACAAGGGTTTAATTGTATTTTAGCAATTGTAATATGTAAGATAATAATATAATAGCATCACATAAGATAGACTTATCAATATCTAAATCTTTCTTAATCAATGCATAATGGTGATTGCTCTGCACTCACATCCTTTGTGGATTACAAATGGTCTTGCTATGACAAAAGCATTGAGAGTCTTCAGTGTAAACACACATCTAGCGAGAATAATTCCTTTGTGACTAAGGAAATGGTTTACTTTTTATTTTCCTGCTGGTACTTCAGTAGTTAGATATATACACACCAAGCAGAGTTCACAACCTTGTGACAAATCCAAACCTAAGTAATTAACAATAAAGTCTATGGTATAAAGAGAATTCTAGAGTATTTTAAAAGATCTGTGCTTTTTTTATATATATATAAACACATTATCACACATTAACTATTCCAGAAATTACATCCTCAAACAATGAGATGGTATCACGCAATGGAAGCAAATAAATTCCAAATGCTTACCCTAATCCCAACAATAACTTCTCACATGTCTAAATGTATCCATTGTAGTATTTTTTTTTAAATCCTATATAGTCCAACTTGCCATTTTCCAGAGGCTGATATTCCTGTCCCCTGGGAGAACTCCTTTCTCTGTGCTACATTCCACAAAACTGGAGAAAGAGAAGCTTTACATCAATACAGTCTGTAACTTACTAAAAGTGCTCTCAGGTGTTTTTTGGAGGAAACTTCCTGAGCATATTAGGATCTTTATATTATTTATGCATTTTGTTTCTAGTTTTTGCTCTTCTCTCCCGGAAACATCAATAACCTCATGTGCCGATGGCCACACATGCTTACTTAAACCTATGGAAACCTGCTGAAATGTAGGAAGTAAAAGTCTTTCGAAGAGAAAACATCTCTGCTCAAAGAGGACAACTGACAGAACCAGCTCATGAAAAAATAAATAAATAAATAAAATTCAAGCAGAAGCAAAAAGCTGTATGTTTATTAACTGCAATGGCATTGAAATAAGACAGATTATACATGACACCTCCAGGCAAAGAGCTATCACTCAGCACTCCACAACACTACCAGACAGCAAACATCATGGCAATAAATACAAAAATCAACCGCTGCTGTCTTCTGAACAAGGCCCTGCTCAGGTCAGTACAGAGACACAAGAAGGCACGGGTTGGGGGAAGGGGTGCTGCACATGAAACTAGGATCCACCTGAAATAGTGACCATATTTCTAAAAGGAAAACAAACACACTTCCATTTTATAACAGCAAACTGTTAGCACAAACAGGCAAAAAACAAAGTTAGCCTCCATAGCAAATGTCAAGATCCCCCTACAGTGAAATACTGAAGTGCAAGCAATAGCCTAGGATTCTGAAAGCTCAGATCTCAACAATTTCTACAATTATAATAAAGAATCAGCCAAGACAATGCAAACTGCCTCCCAGAACCACTTTCAAGGCTTTCCCAACACAATTAGAACTTGATTAATCACAATCTAACTAATCCAACTTCTCAAGTATACTTAGGAGATAAAACAGATTAAAAATATACACATATATATTTCTCTCTCCCTTCCTCCCCCTCCTCTTTCTATCATATATATAAATATATATACACCTATAAACATATATATATACTATACATATATATGTATATATACATTTGGGAGGATTAAAATACAACAGTCCTGAGATATCTATACACAGAGAAACAAGAGAATGAGAGAGCACAGGACTGTTTTTGTTTTAATCCTCCCAAATATATTACTGTGGAAACAATACTGAACCTAAATTCATACCTTTACATCAACAGTCTAAGAAAATGTGGAGTGACATTCTGTAACTGTCAACTGACATTCTATGAAGCATTTCTGAAACCCTAAATCTAATAATAATACCAACAACAACTCCACTCAATTACAGTTTTACTTAAAGGGACAAAGTCTCATTTTTACTTACCTTGCCATCAAATTTGGAATACTCGTTAAAGGGGTTATTCAGCTGCAGAGGGCACTGTTCTAGGCGTACAGATAATATTGACTGCTTTCCAGAAATTGGAGGCTTCTCTTTGAGAGACTTTTTTTCAAACAGTGACTTTAACTCCTGGGCTGTGACACAAGAGGAAGAAAAACATCCTGTGATTACACAGAGACAACTTGTCCACCTTCCCTAAAAAGTCTTCCTTAGAACCTGAAGGAAAAAGCATCCAGAGGCATGTTCAGGTCGGACGTATGCAGAAAGCCCCACAATATACTGTGCACTGAAAAGGCAGAGCACAGAAAAACGTGCAGGCCAGGATAGTCAATTTGGAAGGAGAAGGGGTTAAGGGAGGGGGGAGAATCAGACAAAGCAACAACGGAGCCATTTTATAAGAAGAGCACTCACAGCCAGGAGACCTAAGCTTTGGCCCGGCTTTGCTAACAGCAAGCTATGTGATAGTGAACACTTCTCTAAATCTCTCTGGGCTTGTCAAACTAGATAATCTCAAAGATCTCTCCTGCCTCTAATATTATGTGATTTTGGAATTCTAGTTCTTCAAGGTCAAGATCTACATATTAATCCTCTAACACTCTCCAGTTGCACCTTGCACAAACTCTTGACGCCAAAGATGAAGAGGAGAAAAAAAGAAAGGATATTTATAGTAACAGTAGCTAACATTTATTGCTTCTTGGCCTTTTGGCTAAGATCAAGTGTAGTAACAGTAGCTAACATTTATTTAGCAATTCAATATATCTCATTTAATCCTCATAACAAGCCTCTGAGGTAGATACTAGCATTATCTCAGATTTGTCAATGTGGAAACAAGCTTAGAATATTCTGATTAGCCCTGGACCACACAGCTAATAAGTAACAGAACTAGAATTTGCACCTGACCAAGGTTCTTATACATTAGGGCACTAATGAACAAGGTAAGACTAACTCAATAAATTTTGTTGCATGAATGAATGATTGAAATAATTCAGATTATTATTAAATCTGAATCGTCAGTTCTTATTCATTAGTGAACCAAGACAAGTTTCGTATCTTTTCAAAGATCATTTAATTCTCTAAATCAATTGGTGGTAGCTAGATGATAAGTGACTATCAGGAAATGTCCACACTTAAAGTTTTAAAATAAATCAATCTGAGACTTTAAAATCTGCAATAAACATGTTCAACCCCATTCCACTTTAGCATTGTCAAATTAAACCGAGAGAGAACAGAACTCTGTAACAGTCACTTAGAACTTTCAAAAAAAATGTAACTGCAGCTGGGCACCATGGCTCAAACCTGTAATCCTAGCACTTTAGAAAGGCAAGGTGGGAGGATCACTTGAGCACAGGAGTTCGACATAATCAACATATTAAACACAGATTTGAAGAGAATTAGACTGTAATTTGATTAAAAGTAATATTTTAAATATAGGAAGTACTTTTCTACCTGAATCTATGACCAGTTTCATGGTTATAACTGGGAAAGAAATGATCCTTTATTAAGCATCTGTTATGAGCCAGGATCAATACTAGGTATTTTCCTCACCTGGCACAGTCACAGTCTTCACAGATACTAAGAGAGATGTTACTACTAGCTCCATGAAGAAACTGAGGAATCCCAAACTTAAGTAATGTATAGACTTCACACAGCTGTTACCAACAGGGTTCGGTGCAAGGTGATGCTATGATTAACCCTTTCATTCTCAGATATTCACACTCAGACCTCTCTCCCCAACCTAACGTCTCCTCCCCTCTTCCTCCTTTGTCGAGGCTTGGAGAACAGAAACAACCAAAAAGAACTTTTGCATGCTCTCATCTGCTCTTCTATCTGCCTGTCCTCCTATTACCATGGATGAACTCCCTCTGCCCTTACCTTAAGCCAGCCCTTCCTTGTGCACTAGATCCCATCCCTCTTGCCAACTCATGAACAGCTCTCCAGCAATTCTCTTCTCTCTCTCTTCCATTGTCACTTTTTCTCTTACTGAATTAGGCACATTGGCACACAGTACTGAAACACTGCTCGTAAAAAAAAAAAAAAAATCTGCTCTCTATCCCATACTCCCTCCCTTCTGGTTACTACCATATTTTTTTCTTTCTTAAAATGTCATCTATATTCTTTCTGTCCAGTACCTCCACTTCCATTCAATCAAATCTACTCCAAGCAGGCATATTCAGGTCACGCTACTCCACCAAAGCAGCTTTCATCGAAGTCACCAATGATCCCTTTGTTGCTAAATCTGTTGGTCAATTTTTAATCCTCATCTTACAAGATGTCTTGGCAGCATTTGACACGGTTCATCACTCCCTCCTGTTTTAACATTTTTTTCACTTGCTCCCCAGGACTCCACTCTATCTGGCTTTTATACTGTCTCTCAGGCTACTCCTTCTTGGTCCCTCTGCTGATTCATCTCATTTCCCCCTTGAATCACTGGTATTTCCCAAGGCACAGCACTTGGACCTCTTCTCAATCTACATTCACACCACTGGTGATCTCATCCAGTCATATCCTTTTAAATACCATCGATAAGGGGCAAAACTAAATTGTGGTGACATAAATCAAAACAATGCTTGCCTCTGGGGAGTGGAATGACTAAAAAGGAGCACCAGGGAACTTCTTTGGGGTGACAGAATTGCTCTATGCTTGTCTGGGATGCTAGTTATATAAATGTATATATCTGTCAAAAGTCATTGAGCTGTACATTTAATAGCTGTACATTTCACTATATGTAAAGCATACCTCAAAAAAAGTAAATAAATAAAAAGGGAAACCCCAAGTAAATATCCTGTATATGCTACTAACTCTCAATGGTTATTTTTAACCCTAAACACTCCCTGAAATTATAGACATCCAACTTTCTACTGGACACTTTCACTTGGATGCCCACCAAGCACCTCAAGTGTTACCTATCCGTAACTAAACTCTTGATCTTTCCCCGAAGCTCCCATTCCCACAGTCTCCTCAGTTAATGGCAATTCAGTTCTGATAGGCCAAAAACTTGGGAGTCATCCTGACTTCTCACATCCTACATCCTACCCATCAACCAATACTTCAAAAGCTATTCAGAACCGTGGCAACCGCTAGCACCACTGTATTATCATCATCACCTTCAAACCCGCTTTACTGTTTCTGCCCTTGCCTACTCCATCCTGACGCTTGTTTCTTCCTGACATAGCCGCCAATATGAGTCTTTTAAAATACAAGTTACAAACTTCAGAATGAGGAGAAAACTTGATAAATCTGACCACATAAAAAGAAAACACTTTTGTATGGGAAAAAAGTAAAAAGACAAATGATAAATTAGGAAAGAATAAAGGTCAATATTCCTAATATACAAATATTCTGAAAGTACAGAAGACACTGAACAACACAGATAGAAAAATAAGACAAAAAATATGAAATGTTCACAGAAAAAGAAATGTAAACAGCTCTTAAATGGAAAGATTCTCAACCACATTCATAAGAGACATGCAAATTAAAACTACATTTCACCAGATTGGCAAAAATCTAAAAGTTTGAGGCTCTGAGGACATAGACACTCTGTATGTTACTGGTGGGTAACAGCAAAAGTCCTATGAAAGGGAATTCAGAAGATCAAGGAAAATCATATCTTCATTTACCCTGTGACCCAACAATACCACTTAGATACATTAGTAAAACAAAATCTTTAAAAATATGCATAAAACTATTCCCTGCAGTGCCATTTGCAAAAGCCTACAAACAATCAAACATCCCTGACTGGGGCATGGGTTGGCACTGGTACATCTGTATCATAGAGTAGTATGCAGCTGTAAAATGGAATGAAGCTTATCTCTATATATTGCTCCAGAAAAATCCTCAGAATATATTACTAAATGAAAAAAATTACATATTGTACAAAACAGTATGTATATTATGTTATCTTTAATCTAAAAAAGGGGGATATAAACATAAATATGCTTATATATAGTTTTAAAGGGACAAAAAACCGTTTTAAAAATGACTATAAAAGAGTGAAGGGAACAGAAGGTGAAGCTAGATTTCTCTGACTTTATCTTGCTTTATGTTTTTGACTTTGAAGCCATTTTAAATAATTATAAAAGAAAATTAAAAGTGTAACCTCTAAAAACAAAGGCAAAATGAAATAAATGAACCTAAGTATAATAATGACTTGGCAGATTAACCACAAAGAGGGGAATTATTTTAAATAACTTTGTTACTCAGCAAATGACCCAATTTCTTCAACAAATAAATTATAAGAAAAAAAGTGAAAGAGAAGCTATAGATTAAAAAATGAGACATTAACCAAAGTAGTAGATGGATCTTAGAACCAAACATGAACAAACCAATAGGGGAAAAAGAAAAATTTGAGATGATTTGGAAATAATGAACAATAATTGGATATTTAATAATATTAAATAAGTATTTCTTGGCCAGGCACTGTGGCTCACAACTATAATTCCAGCACTTTAGGAGGCCAACATGGGCAGATCACTTGAGCCCAGGAGTTCAAGACCAGCCAAATCCCATCTCTACAAAAAATGCAAAAATTAGCCAGGAATGGTGACTTGTGCCTGTAGTCCCAGCTGCTTGTGAGGCTGAGGAGGAAGAAACGCTTGAGCCCAGGAGGTTGAGGTTGTAGTGAGCCATGTTCATGCCACTGCATTCTAGACCCGGTCAAAGTGCAAGACCCTGCTTCAAAACAAAAATTTTTTTTCTGACAGGGCATGGTGGCTCACGTCTGTAATCCCAGCACTTTGGGAGGCCGAGGTGGGCAGATCACAAGGTCAGGAGATCGAGACCATCCTGGCTAACACAGTGAAACCCTGTCTCTACTAAAAATACAAAAAATCAGCTGGGCGTGGTGGCAGCGCCTGTAGTCCTGGCTACTCAGGAGGCTGAAGCAGGAGGCAGAGCTTGCAGTGAGCCGAGATCACGCCACTGCACTCCAGCCTGGGCAACAGAGCAAGACTCCGTCTCAAAAAAAAAAAAAAAATTTCTTTATAATATTATAAAGTTTTATTATGTGTTAAAAATACATAGTTTTATTATGTGTTAGAAATACAAAGTATTTAGGTATGAAATTATATAGTAGCTGGAATTTGCTTAAAAATCATCTGGGAGGGCCGGTAGTAAAATGTATACATTAAACAGGACC